CTAACTGTTCAAGTTATCTTCTTTGGTTATGGCGAGAAGACTGGCGAAATCCTTGTCAACCAGGAAGCTACTGCGGATGCAAAGGCTGTCATTAAGCCAAAACTATAGTATACCCGTCTCTGCCTTTCATTCTTCATCCTCTGGCTGGTTTGGCGCATTGGTCGAGATACCAATTACCGGTGTTATGGTATAGGGCTACTTGGACGAGAATTGTGCTTGTATGTTTTTTAAGAGCGGGCTTTTAAGAGCGAACCAGGGTGTTGGAACACTGGAGCAATGTTATCTTCTATGTATGTTAATATCAGCGACATGCCGAAACATTCATTAAATCGGTAACTGAGAGAGCCGTTGAGCCTCCTCCAGGGCCGTCTGACATCCTGCGACGGTCGGTTGGCCCGACATGGCGGGGCTGAAGCAGGGGTTGTTGGCCAGTTTCGCCCAATAATGAGCTAAAAACGTGGTTCAATCGCTGAATTCATCGTTCGAAATCAGTATCCTCCACTGCCCGTTCCTGTCAAATTGTTCGTGCTTGCCTCACTTGCTAATGCGGACATTTTCTCCCGAACGACACCCGATGACAGCCCGAGTCACCTCTCGGACCTTTTTTCGTACCTTGCTGTAGCTGAAGGTATTTGTGGGGACCTGCGTCGATAAGACTTGTTGCGCGTGCCCCTGAAGCGGTACACTGACGTCACAAATTTCGACGTTTTCAGGCCGTTTTGCGACTGTTCCAAGGCCCAACCAACACAAGGTGGCGCGCTAGCTAGGCGGGCTGCAACCCCTCCCAGCCACGATTCAGAGGCTAGACTTGCAGCGTGCCCCTCCCGCCGTGCTCTTGCATTCCGAGTTGCATGCGACTGAAAACCGAAGAGCTGTGCTTCTGTGTTAAAAAATCTAGAACATCGGCGCTTCTTTTTTTGCCTATCACTTCTGTTCCGAGCCAGTTTTCAACATCTCTTTTCCTTAAGTTCTCTGTTGAAGGCTTGGGACTTGGAGATCTGGCTTGGGAGGTTCTTTGCGCCATTGCCACTTGTAAGACAGACTCCGGTTACTTACAGAAAAGACAAAGTCATGGTTGTCTACGACAATCACGAAAGTCTCACGCAGGAAGAAAAGAGACTCAAAGAGGATCGCAATCGCACAAAGTACTGGAAGAAATGGGGTCCCTATGTGGCCGAGAGACAATGGGCGACCGGCAGGTTTCCTGTTTCACAGCAGGTACCGTTGGACAGCATGCTGACAAGATCGATCCGCAGTACGAGAGGACTACAGCGGCGATGGTGACGCCTGGAGCCGTAGGTATCTCTTGTCCCAACCACGAGTTTGCGCCACCTTACTGACAATGGGCTCGGGCAGACTTTCCCCACGACCACGCACGATCCCGAACCTACAGATGGGGCGAGGACGGCATAGCTGGTGTCTGTGACACGCATGGCTTCCAGAACATCGCATTCGCTTTCTGGAACGAGCAGGAGTAGGAACCATCGCAACCCATAAGAGGAGATCCGCCAAGCCAGTCTCGCTGACTGACTGGATCTTAGCCCGTTCTTGAAAGAGAGGTTGTTTGGATTGTCTAATCCCCAGGGAAACCATGGAGAAAGTATCAAGGAGGCTCACTTCCACGTTGACAACACACCTGTAAGATGATCAACCGTCTAAGAACGCTTTGTGAAGATTGCTTTGCTAACCATGTTTCCCACAGACGGTAAGATTTCCAGCTTGGTCACGAAAGCCTCTGTCGAAGCTAACCCTGAATAGCACTCGTACATGAAATACCTCTACAAGTACCCGCAAAAGGCCTTCCCGTACGAAGACTTGCTAAAGGAGAACGCCAGGCGGGGAAAGGAGGATAAGGAATACCAACTCATCGACACTGGCATATTCGAGGAGGACCGCTACTGGGATATCTTTATCGAGACAGCCAAGGAGGACGATGATCCGGATGAGCTCCTCTTCCGTGTCACGGCTTGGAACAGAGGTCCGGAGCCAGCTCCGCTTCACATTATCCCCCATGTATGGTTCCGCAACACATGGGCTTGGGGTCGGGAGCCCGAGGAGAACAAGCCTCACATCAAAAAAGAGGGCGAGAACTTGGCCAAGTCAAATCACCATGCGCTGGGAGACCGCTACTTCCTCCTTTCCCCCTCGCCCGGTGTTGGCCCGAGCGGAGAGGATGTTCAGCCGGAAATGGTCTTCACCGAGAACGATACCAACTATGAGTTGCTGTATGATGGCAAGAACGAGCAGCCCTACGTGAAGGATGCCTTCCATCGTTACATCGTTGATGGTGACAAGGGGGCTGTGAACCCGGCCAAGACTGGAACCAAGGCCGCAGCATGGTTCTCCTTCAACGAAGCTGGTGGAGTCAACCCTGGCGAATGCGCAGTGGTTCGTTTCCGCTTCTCCAAGAGGCCCGAGACGTACCTGGATGAGGAAGAGTTCGACGACATGATCGAGAAGAAGCGAGACGAGGCCGATGACTTCTACTACCATATCAGCCCCTTACCTATGGCTGATGACCTCCGCAACATCCAGCGACAAGCATTTGCTGGCATGATGTGGTGCAAACAGCACTATCTCTTCATCTGGGACGAGTGGGCAAACGGAGACCCCACCCAACCACCGCCGCCTCCTGGCCGAAAGGGTATCCGTAACTCCGCTTGGAAACATCTGCATTGCGACGATATTCTCTCTATGCCAGACTCGTGGGAATATCCGTTCTTTGCTGCCTGGGATACCAGTTTCCACTGCATCACCTTGGCCATGATCGACCCAGACTTTGCGAAGAAGCAGCTGGATCTGTTTACCAGGGAATGGTACTGCCATCCGAACGGGCAGCTTCCAGCTTACGAATGGAACTTTGGCGATGTCAACCCCCCTGTTCACGCCTGGGCGACATTCCGAGTTTTCAAGATTGAGCGCAAGCTGTATGGAAGACAGGATCTCGACTTCCTCGAAAGGGTGTTCCAGAAGCTGCTCCTGAACTTCACCTGGTGGGTGAACCGAAAAGACGTCGATGGAAAGAATGTTTTCGAGGGTGGTTTCTTGGGGCTGGACAACATTGGATTGTTCAACCGCTCAGAGCCGCTGCCTACTGGCGGTACTTTGGAGCAGGCCGACAGCACCGGCTGGATGGCATTCTACTGCTTGAACATGCTCAACATTGCCCTTGAGCTGGCGAAACACCGACGTATCTACGAGGATATTGCAAGCAAGTTCTTTGAACACTTTATTCTCATCAGCGACGCCATGACTTGGAGAATGGGTCAGAAGGACGAGCAGTCGTTGTGGAACGAGCAGGATGGCTTCTACTACGACGCCATCTCTTGGGGTGGCCCATGGATCCAGCAACTGCCAGTCAGGTCACTGGTGGGGTTGATTCCTCTCTATGCAACCCTGACTCTGGAGCCTGAGCTCATCAACAAGCTCCCGGCCTTCAAGAAGCGCGTGGACTGGTTCATGAAGAACCGCTGCGATGTGGCGGAGCGGACCATGCACAGCATTCGGAAGCGTGGCAAGGGTGATCGGATCCTTCTTTCGCTCGTCAGCAAGGACCGTCTTGTGAGGATCCTTGAGCGGATGTTGGACGAGGACGAGTTCTTCAGCCCTCACGGCATCCGATCACTATCAAAGCACCACAAGGACCACCCTTACTCGATGGAGGTTAACGGCCAGACCTTCAGGGTGGGCTATGTACCGGGTGACTCTGATAGCGGTCTTTTTGGTGGCAACAGCAACTGGCGAGGTCCCATCTGGCTGTGCGTCAACTTCCTCCTGGTGGAGTCGCTACAGAGGTTCTACCTCTTCTTCGGACAGAACCTACAGGTTGAGTGCCCGGTAGGCTCAGGCGACTACATGCATCTCGGCCACGTCTCCGAGGAGATCCAGCACAGATTGCAGCATCTATTTGCCAGAGGTGACGACGGTCGTCGCAGCATCAACGGTGGCAGCGATCTGCTCGACTTTGACCCGCACTGGAGGGACTACCTCTGGTTCTACGAGTTCTTTGATGGAGACACGGGTCGTGGACTCGGCGCGACACACCAGTGTGGATGGACGGGTCTGATTGCTCGTATGATTCACGACACTGGGTGAGTTTTACCATAAGTCATACTGTTTGAATGAGTTTGCTAATCGTGTTATGTAGTGTCAACTGCCGTCTGCCGCAAACCCCACGGACGCCTTCGGTCGGCATGTCACATTACTTTGACGACATTTTCCACAGGAACGTCGGCATGCAGACACCCAAGTCGCCTAAATGGCCGCATCTCAGGCGTACCTCGACCAGTCGTTCCATCGGTGCGCGCAGCGACTTTGATCTCAATGATGTGAATGGTCATGATCAGCATGATGACGAGGAGGGGGAGGAAGACGAGGGTGTCATGACGCCTCGCCGCGGGTCGATCGCGAACTCGATAGTGTTGACGGGATCACCCGAACAGGTGCGAGAGAGGCAAGAGGCAGATGCCCACCTCCACAAGTACATCTCTCAGCAACTGGAGCATATCCGTCAGGAACAGGGGGCGGACGGGTACAGTGTTGGGGATGAGTTTGAGGCTCAGCCGTAGGATTGCTGGGTTATTCTGAAGAGCAAACTCTAATGGGGTGGGTATGCCATATTAGACAGTTTTGGTAGGGAAGACATTGATAAGACATTGATTTGGCTTGAACTAGAGTGAGTGGGATAGAGAGACTATTAGATGGCTCGGGACAGACAGATACGGATCATATCACTCGTGTAATCATTTTTGCTTGTACGGATACATCTGGGTTGCATTAGATTGAGTAATAGCATAGCAGTCTCATGTTTTATTCTGAAATTTAAATGAAATCCTCCTACACCTGACACTGCGCAACCAACCGAGCACACAAATAAGGCATGATACCTAAGGTACCTAAGTTTTGAACCAATACGTATGTTTAATGGTCGAGAGTTGTGTTCAGTGTGCAACCGGTACCCGCATTATGTTTAGAGTTAAGTGTGGCGAAAAAGTATCGAAGCATCAGTGGTTTAGTGGTAAAATCCATCGTTGCCATTTGTGGTGAGAATCACACTCGATGGGCCCCGCGTTCGATTCGCGGCTGATGCATCCCAGTGCATTGGCCAAACGCACCAGACTCGTTTACTTTTTCTTTTCTTGGGGTTTTCACACATGTCGTACGTTACTATATGTATGCTTATATGCCCACCACCACGGCTTTGTTTGGGTTGGTTGCTTTCTCTCCCCTTCCCCCCCCCCCCCCCCTTTTCTCTCTCTCTCTCCTCTTTGACATGCTCATTTCATCGTTCAAAGGCTTCAAACTTAAACATCATTAAAGTAAAAACTCCTGAAGGTTGTGAAACTGTCTGCTGGGCAGTAATGGAAACTGAGCTACTAGCGAACGTTGCTCTAGTATAGTATGCCCAAGATATTGCCCATACTTTACCTACTTGCCTCTGGTAACAATAAAGTAATGCATGCATACATACCTAGATCTGGGATCTGGGACGCGCGGTAAAAACTTACAATTCAGATTCAGAAATGTGTAAAGGGACCGTATCGTTAGTATTTACTATGACAGAACCAGGAGTTGACACCATAATGATTGGTCGTCATGTTGTTAGGCCATGGGGCATATAGAGAGACGGGAGCTTGCGGAACGGAACAGAACTTTGTCCAAGTCTTGTTGAAGAGGAAACTCACTGCGAATCTATGTAATACAACAAAACGATAAAAACGTTGTGTAACCTCTAACTGATTCCCAAAGTATCCTTGAGCAATCAAAACGAAACTCTCAAAATGGGCGCCCAGCAAAAACGGGTTTCATATCAATCTATGCCAGTGCGAAAAAAAAAACTTCCACATCAATGGGGGAAAATGATGGTGAATGTCGACGTGAGCATGCTGAAAAACAGCACGTTGTCAATCTGGCAATATATCGTCTGTCCAAATTCCCATTCCGAACTTCTTGAGACGCTTGTGCCCCAACGTCTAGAACCCTATAATTCTTTGTCAAGGGCAGCAAGTGGATTTAAAATTGACAGGCCCATCATGTCAAGTGAAAGAGTTGGACATCAAATGAAACGGCAGGAAAACACCATCAGGATCCATAGACTCGTGAACAACGGGGATAGAATACACTCGAAGTGAGACCGAGACAGAGAAAGAAAAAAAAAAGGCTGGCAAAATCTTCTATTTCGGCTTTCATATACACAGGTCCCTCCTCTCTACACCCACACCGGCTACCTCAAACACAAACAGCAAGGGAATTAGTTTTAGTTTACAAAGTGTCAGTGAGAAGCTTGTTCATCTTGGCCATCTTGGAGGAGACGCTGAGGTCGATGGTCCGGTCGCCGATCTCGACGACGAGGCCGCCAATGATATCGGGGTTGATCTTTACATTATCACATTAGCACCCTCCCCATTGTTCCGCGTTAGTTTGTGTTGGGGCTCTCACCTGGTTGGTAACCTTGAGCTTCTTGCCGGCGCCGACGTAGCTGCTCTTGGAGACGGCATTCTCGAGGCGGGAGAGGGTCTTGCTGTCCAATGGCTGCACACATCATCAGTCACCGTTCCGGTTGCCCGAGGGGTGATATGTAAGGGGGGTTAAGGTGTGTATACCTGAGCAGAGGTAACGACCATCTCGACCTCGCCGCGGGAGGCGCTCATGAGCTCGCTGAACTTGGCGCAGACACCACCCAGGAGTGCCAGACGGTTGTTCTCGGCGAGGGTAGCGAGGAAGTTCTTAACGATCTCGTTGGACACACCGGCGGACTTCTGCAGCTCGGCGATGATGGCGGACTTGTCCTCGGCGGTCAGGGTGGGCGTGGTGAGGATCTTGGCCAGCTTGGGGTCCTTCTCGAAGAGAGAACACAAGCTGCTCAGGGCCTTCGCGGTCGGCTCGAGGGAGGACGTCTTGACGGCGGCAGTGTACTGTGCAAAATGGCGCAGTCAGCATTCCATCCTCTTACATCCAGCCCATTGCAACCCTAAAAGCGACCGAGAGTATATCGAGACGTGTCCATTGAGGATATCGCGAGCCAATTGAGTGCGTACCAGAGCAGTGGCATAGGTGCCGTCGAGACCGAAGAGAGCGACAGGAGGCTTGACCTGCTCGTTCGCGGAGGATGCTGCCGGCGCGGCGAACGACCGAGTCTGGGAGAGGATAGCAGCCCGCGAGGGTGCCGCTGACCGCACGGAGCGGAGCAATACCTGTCTCGACAACATCTTGGTGTGTGTGATGTGGGATGGGGGGCGAATCGCGATGACGGGGTCCCTTTCGCTCGAATCTGTCGTGAAGACCAAAGCTCTCTAGTTTTCAAAACGGAGTTTGGCACTGTTCGGCAATTCTGCGGATGCCTCAGGCGCAAAATCTTTACGGACGTGCGCTGTTGTGAGCGTGCGACATTACCCGAAATGCATAACTTGGTTTAATTATGCACGGTGCATCAATCGCTAAGGTAAATGGGATTTACAGTTATTACTCGGCTTCAACAGCTCCCATTGTTAGTACTGCTTATCAACTTCTGCAGTTGCAGCCAGATTTAAAAGACAACGCGCATTACAAGAGTCATACAGACAATACACAAACGAAGGCATTGATATATCCCTGACCTCAATTGTTATCCCTCTTCATCCTTTGCCATGAAACACCCAATGCAATCCAACCATAAACGCCAGCTCCAAGATCTCATAACTCCCAACTAAGACCCGCACAACTAGTCGCTCCGCAACATACTGTCTACCAAGTCACCCAAGGGACCCCAGAAGTCCTTGCCGCTGGCTAGGTTATGCTCATCGATGAAGAGAACGTATTGTTTGAAGCTAGTGTTGAGATGCGGTTCCAGGCCGAGCTCACGAATGACCGGGTAGTGGTGGCAGTAAATGTGCGCGTAGACGCGGTACATGCGCTTGAATATCTGACGCACAAGAGACGGGAATGATTTTGGGAAGGGAACACCTGCGCCATTGGTTAGCCACCACGTGTCGTCAACTCACTACGCAAGAGGTTGCCTTACCAATCCGGCTCGGGAGAACCGACTCGTCGTCGATACTCCTCTGAACCCAGCTCATCAGCTGCTCGATATATGCTGGCGCGGGCATCTTCGTAGGCCGCTTATAGTTCTCGGAGTCCTGCCACAGATACTCGAACTCGTCTGTCGCCTTCATCTCTGGGCATGACTGCGGGGAGCAGAACTCGGTGATAGCACCGTAGAGGAGGTTGATCTGGTTGTAGAAGTCAACCATGTTGACGGCCAGCCACTCGTTCTCATCCTCTCCCTCGGGGAGCTTCACCACCTTCCGCAAACTCCCTCCGCCCAGTGTGGCCTCCGCATACTGCCGTAGTTGGTAGCTCGTGGTACCGCCCTTGCCTGTCGTGCGAGGTCGGAACTGGTTCCTCGTCCGCTGGTTACTGTAGATCACCGCAGTGCGTAAGCCAGAGTATTCATACACATGATCTGGAGGCTTAATGGTGTTGTCTTGGCTGATGGGAGTGCCAAGAGTACGAGGTGTTGACATGGACGGCTCTGGCTGGTCTGGCTGCACTGGCCGCTCTGGTTGCTGCCAAAGCCACCGCGAGAAAGTCCAGTTTGACGGGTTGGCCATAGTATAAAAGAAAGAGGCTTGCAACTCACACTGTCGTAAGAAAGGAACTCATGGTGGAGCCTGAGATCGGCCTCTCTGATATAATGCTGTTGAACTGTTGTCCAGCATTCCAACTGTTAGCGGGGCAATATTGTGGTGGAGAACTCCAATGTTTTGGAGTAACGGTTGTTGTCGCCATACGTAATGCTGAAAATACGCACCTATACAAAAAACCGTAACTGGTAGCAGATGTAATATTTGCGTGTACAGCTCTGAGCACTGAAGAACGCGATTCCGGGATATGGTTGTTGGTGACAAAGTTTAATGATATACAGCGGCAGCAGTGATGTTTACCAGCGGCTTCGCTCGGGCAACAACAGCTGCTCAATTGCAGCCTCTCGTTGGGCAGGGGCAGTCGCCGTTTCAGCGCCACATTCAGCGGGGTTGTGGCGCTAGCCCCTGCAGCTGAATGACAGCTGAGTGCGGCTTGCTCCTTCTCTCACTTACACTCGCACATGACTCGCTGCATTCTCAAGCTCGTCCACAAGTGTCATTTCTCCTGCAATAATTGAAAGGACAGGGTTCGGACTTCTCCCGAGGAGGCCCAAACAGCCTCAATGCGCAATTCCCGTTTATTCCAGCCTTGCTTGCTAATGATCGTCGGGATATCGTTGACCGAAGATGCAAACCCCAACCAACCCCGCAACCTGGGAGCTGGATAAATTCCCCAGGAAGTGCAACGGTTAAGTGACCATCTTGCCTTATTTGGGGATGACAGGATGACATCGCGCGTGCACGTATACCGGGGGAATGGGTCACCGCTGCTTGTCTGGGGATGATGAAGCTTGTCTGTCAAGCTGCCGGTCAATGGCTGGGGAAAGCTCCTCCTCGTGCTTGTAAGTGCAAGTAGAAAGAACAGGGTTGTACTATAAGGTAGTATATTACCCAGTTCCCGGTCCATACATCAAGTACACATCTACTATGTAGTCAAGTCTTCAGAGTCCTGTGTCTCTTGCAAGTGCAACACCCAAGATGCAACTGCTGGGTCTTCTCTTGTTGTTGCCATCCCTCACGGAGGCGGTAACGAACAACCAGAGACGCAGAGTGGTACAGTCATTCAATGTCCGTCGGAATGCAAGTTCAAGCTCGACACCCTTACAAGTCGGCAATGGCAACTTCGCCTTCGGTGCCGATGTAACGGGCTTGCAGACTTTCAAGCCGTACGGCATCTTGTCGACCTGGGGCTGGCACAACTTCAGCTTACCTACCACGGCCAACCAGACCTCTGTCGATGGTAGGCAGTCATTCCCCGCCACAGTGATGTTCATAAACTGACAACTCCAAGACTTCACTGGCTTGGACTGGTGGACGCATGGTAGACTGGTTAACTACGACCAGCCAAACCCCGCCGAGAACGACATCTCAAACTGGCTCATTCAGAACCCGCAGAGGATCAACCTAGCCAACATAGGCTTTACCTTCGGGGATGCCACCGCGACCGAGGATGATCTTCAGCAAACATC